GCACCGCAGCGCAGCACCACGCCACGCCCACCTCTGAACCACCACAGCACCACACCACATCCACAGGGGGGGGGAGGGGGGCACCGCAGCGCAGCACCACGCCACGCCCACCTCTGAACCACCACAGCACCACACCACATCCACAGGGGGGGGGGGGGGGCACCGCAGCGCAGCACCACGCCACGCCCACAGGGGGGGGCGGGGGGGACCATCGCGCGGGGTGGGGGGGGGCCCAATGGCATCAGCACTGGGGGGGAGGGGGGGGGGCCCAAGCCCTGGACCATATATGTACCCATACGGCCACCCTTCGGGTGATAAGGAGGTTCGGGGGGGGAGGAGCCAACGTCTCACTCGATCGGTCTCACTATCGATTTCACTATCGGTCTCACTATCGGTCTCCCTCGATCGATCTCACTCGATCGATCTCACAATCGATCTCACTCGATCTATCTCATCCGATCGATCTCACAATCGATCTGACTATCGATCTCACTATCGATCTCACTATCGATCTCACAGTCGATCTCACATTCGGGTTAACTATCGAAATCACAGTCGATATCACAATCAACGTCATCATCTTCATCATCATCAACATCATCGTCTTCAACGTCATCAACATCATCATCATCAGCATCATCGGGACACCATCATCATCATCGCCTCATCACCATCATCATCAACATCATCATCATCAACATCATCATCACCATCATTAGGGCACCACCATCGACACCATCATCATCAACATCATCATCATTGGGAAACCATCATCATCATCAGAAAACCACCATCATCATCACCATATCATCATCATGATCATGAACAACATCATCAACATCATCATCATCATCATCATCATCATCTTCATCATCATCATCATTAGCAGCATCACCATCATCACTATCATCATCATCATCATCATCATCATCGGAACACCGTCATCATCGTCACCATTATCACCACCATCATCATCATCAACATCATCATCATCATCAACATCATCTGGACACCATGATCATCATCATCGCCATCATCATCACCATCATCATCATCACCATCATCATCATCGTCATCACCATCATCATCATCACCATAATCATCATCATCAACATCAGCATCGTCATCACCATCATTGGGCCACCATCAACAAAATCATCATCATCACCTCATCATCACCCTCATAATCAATATCATCATCATCGGGACACCATCATCGTCATCATCATCATCATCATCGGGACACCATCATCATCAGCACCATCAACCTCATCATCATCATCAGGGCACCATCGTCATCATCATCTTCATCATCATAAATTCATATGGTTATCATTTACATCATCAGGATCATCAACTTCATCATCATCACCATCATCCCCGGGGCACCATCATCATCAGCAACATCATCATCATCGGGGCACCATCATCATCACCACCACCATCATCATCATCAACATCGCCAACATCATCATCATCATCTGGACACCATCATCATCACCACCATCACCATCATCATCATCATCATCATCGTCAACATCATCAACATCATCATCATCATCATGATCATCATCATCATCATCATCATCGGGACACCGACGGGACACCGGCGGGACACCGGCGGGACACCGCGCGCCACCGGCCCCCGAGCGGGACACTGGCGGGACACCTCGGGGCACCGGTTACCGGAACGGAGGCTTTTGGTCGGGCCGCGCCTCAGCTACAGGAGACTTATGTCTCGCCCGCCCACGCAGCGTCGCCTCGCCCGCACGCACGGCACGCACGAACACGAAACCGAAACCGATTTCCCGGAAAGGGGTCTCTCCGTTCCACTTCGATCTCAACCATTCGCCTCCGAAGTTTGTGTGTGTATGTGTGTATGTGTGTATGTATGGAGGTATGTATGCATGCATACATGCATGTGTTTATGTATGTATGCATGCATGCACATGTGTGCACAGGTGTGCATACATTTGCTGCAATCGCAATCTATCTGGTGCACTGTATGTGGTGCAATTCATGCTGTGCAACTCACCTGGCCCAGCTTGAAATTGTCAACCCGCTGCTCGCGCAATCATCCCACACCCACCCGCAGCTTGGTTTGCAAAACCCATGCGGTTTCGATTGCGATGGCTGCTGAGCGTTGGCTGGCGCATCGCTGCGGCCGCGCTGGCACGAGCAGGCCCGAGCGTCGAGCGGCCAGCTAGTCTGGCGCGACCGACGCGGCCGCGGTGTTGCAGACCCCTGGGGACTTACAGCGCATGTCGCAGGCCGAGCCGAGTCAGTGACTCGGGCGGGCGCTGTATCATGGCGACGTCGACTACGTTTGACATGGTGCTGATCGTGGGCAGTACTGGTATCGACGATGACGATGGCGAAGGCAAGGGCCAAGGACAGCGCCGATGCTGATCATGCCGATGACGACGATAGTGTCTTCGTGCCGGTGATGTAGATTCCGGGAGGATTTCGACACGCGCGCGGCCGACGGGCGCGAGTGAATCGCAAAGTATCATTTCATTGCGATCGCCCCCCCACTCAGCGCGCAAAAAGAAGTATTCGAATGATTTCGGCATGCGCGCACGAAGGTCCTGATTAGTCGTATTTGATGGACAGATTGAAACACTGGTGGTTCCCGCACGAATTCGCAAGAGCGCGCGGGTTGTTCTGTTGAGAATACTGTTGCGCACCGTGTTTGTTTGTTTTGTTGTGCTATTTTGTTTTTTTTGTTGCTGGACATTCGATTCTGACTTCTTGCCAGGAGGTTTTTGACGAATTCCAGCATGCGCGCGCGACGACGCGCGCCTGTGGACAGTTGTCCCATTTGTAGCGGGTTTTGTTTGGAAAACTGTTGGGTTCTTGTTAAACGAGTGCGCGCGCATCGCATTAAGAAGGACGGGTGGTTGGAGGGTCGACACCAGGTCCTCTTGGGATGGTAGGAGGCACAATTCATAATGAACGATGTGGTAGAATCGCACGTAAAGTGTAATCTCCTAGGTGGGACCGATCATTCCGGGTGGGTGGGTGGTAGATACCGATTTTCCTTGAGACAAAAGGAATTAATTTGAAGGTTTGGAGTTGTCACTTCCACTGCTTGCGCAATCATCCCAACGACCCACCCGCAACGCGGTTTGCAAAACACTTGCGGCGGCGATTACGATGGCTGCTTGGCACTGGCTGGCGCATCGCTGCGGCCGCGCTTGCGCGCGCAAGCTCGCGCGAAGAGCGTCCAGCTAGTCTGGCATAGCCGACGCGGACACGGTGGTGGCCGTTGGAGAATTCCCAGCGCGTTTCACAGGCCGCGCCAGCGCACGGGTTCTTCAGTGCGGGTTTGTGATTCGGGCCTGCGCGGTATCATGGTGACGCCGACAGAGCAGCGATGATGGGGTCGATGATGATGATCATGATGGTGATGATGATGATGATGATGACGAGGATGATGGTGACGGCTGCAAGGGTTGTGACGGCGCCGACGCTGGTCACGCCAGCGACGGTGACGAATGTTTTGGGGGGAGTTCGACATGCGCGCGCGGCCGACGGGCGCGAGTTGCCCGCACGGTTTTGGTTGACAGGGTTTGTTCGTTCCTGGGTAGCGCGGACAGTGCTTTAGAATGATTTGGGCATGCGCGCGCGGGAAGCCCCCGTGGTCTCATTTGGTGGCGAAATTTTGAGAGCACCGGTGGATGTCATAAGAATTCGCGAAGAGAGGAGCGCACATAATGCGTACAAAGCACATGTTGCAAACCCATTGGTTGAATTTTGTTTGTTTTTCGAGGGCCTCGATCCTGAAATCCTCACGCAATCCATTGTTTCCGAGGGGTTGACTCACAGCAACCTGGCCTCCCTGGAAGCCAACGCGTTTGGCGCGCCTGCCGCCCCTGTAGGGTCGCCCCGCGGCGATGGCACTTCCGCTTCCGCTTCCGCTTCGGCATGCGCGCGCGACGACGCGCACGCGCGCGCGCGCGCGCGTGTGTGTGTGTGTGTGTGTGTGTGTGTGTGTGTGTGTGTGTGTGTGTGTGTGTGTGGGTGTCTTCGTGTGTGTGTGTGTGTGTGTGCGCGAGTGTGTGTGTGTGTGTGCGTGTGTGTATATGTGTTTGTCTGTGTGTGGATTTCGTTCATTCTGATATGAAGCGGATATTCGGCAACATGATAAACGAGTGCGCGCGCATCGCGTTATTCGGAATCCATGAAGGGGGGCGATCATAAAAAATGCGTGTGTTCGGGGTCGTATGTTTTCATGGGACAGAATCGACTCGGACACATTCAGGCTGAACGATGAGACTAAATCGTAAGTAAATTGTGATGTCCCAGTAGGTGTCGACCATTCCACAGGGGAGGGGGGATAACTTCAGTTTGTGATGCAATGTTCGGGTACAAGCTACGTGGTGCAACTTGTGCACTGCATTTTTCCTTGAGCAATCGATGTGTTGCAACTTACGCAGTGCAATCTACTCAGTGCGATGTAAGGCGCGCGATCTATCCAGTGCGATCTATGTGGTGAAGTTCTCAGGCAGCGGCGACGGGCGGCGACGGCGACAACAAACGTGGCGACCGCGAGCCAGGTCCAGAAGCAACGGCGACGGGCGGCGGCGACGGCGACAAGAAACGCGGCGACCGCCAGTTGGGCCCACACGATGGGCGGCGACGAGGCGGGGGCGGGGCGGCGACGGCGACAACATAGCCGACAGACCGCCAGCCAAGCTTCGAAGCAGCGTCGACGGACGGCGGCGACGGGCGGCGACGGCGACAACAAACGCCCCAGACCGCCAGCCAGGCCCAGACGACGGCAGGACATGATGCGGCGACGGGGCGGCGACGGCGCCAGCAGAGCCGCCAGACCGCCAACCTGGAGCAACACGCGCGAGCCCCTAAGTGCAAACACTGCTCGGGGAAAAGATGACAGACGACCTCCTGGCGCCCCCGCCATCTGGCAGTGTGGATCCCCCTCTGTGAAGCGGACGCCACGCTGACCATTGCAAGAGGGACGGCCACGGGGAGGGCAGGTTTGCCCTGCAGCGCATCGTGGGCGACCAGCGCGCCCAGAGGACGCCTCCTCGCCGCTTGCAGTGGCTGTAGTTGCCGAGGGTGGGGTGGACGGCCCTGCAGTCGAGGGGGGGAACCCACAGGTCCGCGGCTCCGGCAACATGGAGCGGCCGGTTTCTGGCGGTGTTCGACCTCGGGGGGCGCTCAGCTGGGCCCGAGTTTGCCAAACTACGACGTGGGACGAAAAGGCCCAGACCTGGGGACGTTGTGCAAGATTCCGGGGTCCACATATCGGAAAAGATTGGAGCGCCAGATGCTTGGGAGGGGAGGCCGCGGGGGTTTGAGGTTCTCGGCCCGAGCGAACCTGGAGACAACCGAGCTCCCTTCGCCGAGGACGAAGAGCACGTCGTGAGCAGAAACTTTCGGAGCTCCGCGCGGATCTCTCGATGGGCGCTGGGGCCCCCTGGCAGCGCCGCCCTTGGCGCGCTGTGCGCGCCAGGGAGGGGGTCCACTGACGATCCCAAAACAAATCCGCGCGGCCCGCAGCAGGTTTATATGTTGCAGTTTCCCTTCTCTGAGAACCACCCCAGCTCACACCTTGCTCCTCCTCCTCCTCCTCTTCTTCCTTTTCCTCCTCCTCCTCCTCCTCCTCCTCCTCCTCCTCATTTTGGCTCAAGCGTTCGCACGGTGCCGCCGTCCCGCCGCGGGATGGCTGTGCCTAGAGGGGTTCGCGCGCCGTCCTCTGCCGCCGCCGCGCTCGTGTAGGCGGCGGTGCGCGGCGCCGCCGTGGGAGGGGCGCCGCGCCCTACAGTTGCCGCGGTGGCGCGGTCGGCCGTCTCGGCCGCGCTGCTCGGGCAGCGCGCCGAGGCGCCCCCTCGGGGCCCGCCTGCCGCCTGGGGCCCGGCACTCCGACCCTTCGCCAGCCAGGCCGATAATCCGCGCGACTGCCTCGCCGCCTGCCGAGGGCCAGCCTGGTCGCCCTTCAGCCCCCACCCTCCTCCCTCTCTTCCTCCCCTTCCCCGCTCCTTCCCTCCTGCCCCCCGTCTTTCTCCTCCTCCTCCTCCTCGTCCTCCTCGTCCTCCTCCTCCTCCTCCTCCTCCTCCTCCTCCTCCTCCTCCTCCTCCTCCTCCTCCCTCCTCCTCCTCCTCCTCCTCACCCCCCCCTCCTCTCGTCGTGGTCGTCGTCGCTGCGGCGAGCCAGCTGCCTGTCCATCTTGGGGTCGGTTTGCCGCGGGTCGGCGCGTGCGCCGCCAGCGCTGCTGCTGGCCAGGCCGACAGTCCGCCGCTTGCCAGGGCCCGGGTCGCCGGCCTTTGAGACGCGCGTGCCCCGCTGGCCCGGGTTCTTCTGCAGGCTTCGAATGGAGACTTCCGACGAGGCCCCCGGGGCGTTCCCGCAGGTTTCGAAGCCTTTGGAACTGCTCGGCGGTCATCGTGGCCATTCCGAGGCCCCCCCGCCGGAGGTCATGGGAGGTTTTCGGGCGCCTTCCAAGAATCCCCCCGCGCCTTGTTTCCGCGCCAGTTTGCGCTTGCATCCACCCGGCCCCGTTTTTTCAACGTTCTTTCCCAATATTATCTACTCTTTCGCTTTCCATTTTAATGTTTATTTCGTTCGTGCTCCATTGCGCTATTCCTCTGTTTTTCGCGCTCCGCCCGCCCCCCCCCCTCCCCGGCTGCCCCACCCCGCCCCAACAATCTCCGCCCCCCCCCCCCCGCTGCCCCTCCTCCAGATTCCTCCGTGCGCCCGCCGCTCCTCCGCGCCCCTCCCGGCCCTTCCCCCCGCCTCTTCGCCGCCCCTCCTCTTGATGCCCTACTCTTGTCCAATCCATCCCAATCCATTCCGCGCCCCCGCGCCCCACTCGACGTGGTTGCAGTTATCATTATCTTCCCGCCCCGCCTTCCCGACGTCCCGCTTGTTCTCAGGGTTCCGCGAAATTTGTTTCTGACGCCAGTTCGCAGCTGTGCGCCCCCCCGTGGGGCTATCCGCGATGTGTTCTTCCAAGGGGGCGTTGCGTGGCGCCGTCGATGGCGCGACCCGCGGCGAAGCTCATCGTTGACCTGCATTGTAGTGGCTGGCGCAAGCCATGGCACAAGCTGAATCGCCACTCACAGCGCAAGTCATCGCCCCCCTCCTTCTTCTTGCCCCCCCAATCCTTCCTCCGATCCCTTGCGCCCTCATTCTCCGCAGTTTTCTGCTACTTTTGGTTTTCAAGGGCTTCGCCAACCACGCGTGGCAGGGGGTGAATGTGCTCCCAAAGTGGGGCGCGATCGAAGACGAGAGGGGGCGGGTATCCAGGGTTTGGGATGTGCATGTTGAATGGCGCGCGAGCAGAAAAGAGCGAACAGTGTGAAACGGATGTTGTTGTTGTTGTTGTCGTTGCTGTTGCTGTCGTTGTGGTTTTTGTTGTTTTTGTCGTTGTGGTTGTTGTTGTCGTGTTTGTTGCTGTCGTCGTCGCTGTTACGGTTGCTGAAGTAATTGTTGTTGTGCTTGTTTTTGTTGTCGTCGTTGTTGTTGTTCGTGTTGTTAAGATTGTTGTTGTTGCTGTGGTTGAATGCGAAGTATTAAACGAGTATTATTGTTGGACCCCTTTATAACAGCGTTTTGACACTCTCGCCGAGGCGCCGGCTACGTGTTCATAAAAAAGAGGCTCGCGCTCGAGCGGTTTCAGGGACCACCAAAAACCGACCCCCCAACAGCAACAACAACAACAACAACAACGCTCCCGCTCGATATTTTTTCCTTTTTTTATGCAGGGCTTGTGTTTTAGCTCGCCGCCGACAGCCGCCGTCTCAACAAAACCAGCGCTCCCGCTCGAGACTTCTTCCTGAAACCTCGCACTGGCGCGCTAGTCTTTCTGTCATCGGCGCCGCCCCCAACAAAAACAACGTTCCTGCTCGAGGTTTCCTCGCTTTTCTACTCAAGGCGGTGCTCCTCTTCGCTACCGAAAACCGCCACCCCGACAAAACCAGCGCTCCCGCCTGAGACTTCCTTCCGTTTTACGCTACGTTGGCGCCCAAGTTTCTTTTGAGTTGGCGCCGCCCCCAGCATAAACAACGCTCCCGATCGAGGTTTCCTCCCTTTTTCCTGAAGGCGGTGCTGTTCCTCGCCGCCGACAACCCCCGTCCCGACAAAACCACGGTTCACGCTCGATGTTCCCTCCCTTCTTAGTCCACTCGGTGTTCCTCCTCGCCACCGAAAACCGCCGCCCCGGCAAAACCAGCGCTCCCGGCCGAGACGGCCTTCCGTTTTACGGTGGATTGGGGCCGTACTTTTTTTTGCATTGGCGTCGCTCCCAATCAAAGCAACGCCGACGGCCCCCGTCCCGACAAAACCACGGTTCCCGCTCGATGCTTTTTCCTTTCGTGCTCAAGGCGGTGTTTTCCTCGCCGCCGAAAGCCGCCGTCCCAACAAAAGCAGCGCTCCCGCTCGAGATTTCGTTTTGATTTACGCTGAACCAGCGCCATATTCTCTTCAGCATTGGCGCCGCTCCCAGCAACAACACCAGCCCTGCTCGAGACTTCCTCCCTTTCTACTCAGGGCCAAGTCCTTGCCTCACCGCCGAGAGCCCCCATCCCCACCAAGGCAATCCTGTCGTTCGATACTTCCTTGTGCTTTACCCTTCGCTGGGGTTCCACTGGCGGCTTCGCATTGGCGCAGCAAGGCGCGGGCATGTGTTTCCGAGGTTCCTCGGAGGAGGTGTTTGCAAGACCTCATTGGGCGGGATATCTGGGAATGAGAATAACGGGTCCCGCTATAGAGCCGGAGTCCCCCATTGTGCGAATGTTTAACATTCTTCTTGTGGAAACATCGCGCATGAGGATGAATTGATTGTTGCTGTTGATGTTGTCGTTGTTGTTCTTGATGTTGTTGTCGTCGTTGTCGTCGTTGGTGTTGTTGTTGACGATGTTGATGTTGTCGGTGTTGTTGCTGTTGTTGTTGTTGTTGTTGTTGTTGTTGTTGTTGTTGTTGTTGTTGTTTTTCTTGTTGGTTTGAACATTAATGTTGTTGGTGTCGTTGTTGATGGCGGTGTTGCTGTTGTTTTTGTTGTTTATGCTGTTGGTCGGTTAAGTTGTCGTTCAAGTTGGCGTTAACATTGTTGCCGTTGTTGTTGGTGTTGGTGGTGTGTTTGTTGTTGTTGTTGTTGTTGTTGGTGTTGGTGTTGTTGTCGTTGTTGTTGTTGTTGTAATTGCTTGTGTGCTTAAATTGTTGCTCTAGTTGGTGTTAGTATTGTTGTTGATGATGTTGTTGCTGTTGTCCTCCACGGCCTCTGTTCGGGAGGGAGAGCACTCCAGGGCCACCACGCCGGTCGGCCTCCCAGCGCCTGTTTCCTCCTCCCCCTCTTTCGCACGCGGGCTACTTCGTGATGCCGTGTCCCGGTCTCGCCCCGACCCGCGTGCGGATCGCCCCCTGCCGCGCGGCGACGGAATTGGTGGGCCGATTTCCCATGTCTGCTATAGGTCGGAGGAGGAGGAGGAGGAGGAGGAGGAGGAGGAGGAGGATGATGTCCAGGAGGAGGAGGAGGAGGAGGAGGAGGAGGAGGAGGAGGAGGTGTAGGAGGAGGAGGAGCTAGAGGAGTAGGAGGAGGAGGAGAAGGAGGAGGCGGAGGAGGAGGAGGAGGAAGTCCAGGAGGAGGAGGAGGACCAGTGGAAACCCAAGAGTCATCAACGATGTTTGAGTCAACCCTCCCTCCAGGCTCCCTCTTCACAGGCCCCTACAACGGTTCGTTTCCATTGAGGGGACGCCCCGCTGGAAGACAACAGTCTGAGGATCCTGAAGCGTGCCAAAACATTGTTCTCGGGATTTCAACGCCACGTATCAACCTGACTGCTGCGTCTTGACGATCCAGAATCGTGCCAGAACGCGATTTTGTTGAGTTCAACACAGCGAGTCAACATAACTGATGCGCCCGCATACTCATGAATCCTTCAAAACACAATTTCGGGTACGTTGGTCATGGGAATCCGTGAAACTCTTGCAAATGTTACAACAGAACTTGCAGCGCTAAGGCGACAACCACATTTTGAAAAGGATCTGCCCTCGATCCGTGAAACCCTTGCAAATGTTGAAAACGAATGTGCGCGGCGCTAAGGCGAGAACCACAGTTTGAAAAGGAACCGCCCTCAATCCGTGAAGCTTTTGCAATGTTTGAAAACGAATGTGCGCGGCGCTAAGGCGAGAGCCACATTTTGAAAAGGAACCGCCCTCAATCCGCGAAACTCTTGCAAATGTTCTAAATGAATGCGCGCGGCGCTAAGGCGAGAGCCACATTTCGAAAACCACCCGCCCTCAATCCGTGAAACTCCTTCAACTGTTTAAAATGACTGTGCGCGGCGATAAGGCGAGAGCCACATTTTGAAAACTACCCGCGCTCGATTTGTGAAACTGTTTCACTCTTAAGCTTCAGAGTCGCACGTGGTGAGGAAGTCTCAAGCGAAAAGCCCGGCCCGCTGTAAAAACTGGTTTCGGGGTGCGACAGGGAGGTGTTATCTGTAAGGAGCAGGAATGGAGGAGGAGGCGGAGGAGTAGGAGGGGTATGAGGAGGAGGAGGAGGAGGAAGAGGCGGAGGAGGCGGAGGAGTAGGAGGAGGCGGAGGAGGAGAAGGAGGTCCAGGAGGAGGAGGAGGCGGAGGAGGAGGAGGAGGCGGAGGAGGAGGAGGCGGAGGACGAGGAGGAGGCGGAGGAGGAGGAGGAGGAGCAAGAGCAGGAGCAGGAGGAGGAGGAGGATCGCCTCTGCCGCGCTGCGACTGCAAAAGGGGTCTCTGGGGCGGTGGCGCCCGAAGCCGCCCGCGCGCGAGCGGGGACGGTCTCGGGTGGCGGGCGCGATGCTGGGACAAAGCGGCTCCCCGCGAGGGATCGCGGAGAGGTGCCCGTGGCCCCGCGGCCTCCCGCAGCCGACGGGCGCGCCCCCCTCGCGTCCTCTCTCGTCCCCCGTCCTTCCTCGTGCCCCGCTCTTCTCCTGGTCCCTCGTTCTGCTCGTGCCTCGTCCTCCTCGCTCTCCTCGTCCTCTTTCTCCGCGTCCTCCTCGTCCCTCGCTCTCCTCGTTTCTCGTCCTCCTCGTCCCCCGTCCTTCCTCGTCCCTCGCTCTCCTCGTTCTCCTCGTTCTCCACGTTCTCGTTCTCCTCGTGCCTCGTCCTCCTCGTCCTTCGTTCTCCTCGTCCCTCGTTCTCCCCGTCTCTCGTTCTCCTCGTCCCTCGTTCCCATCGTCCCTGGTTCCCCTCGCCCCTCGTTCTCCGTGTTGTTCTCCTCGTCCTCCCCGTCCGCCGTCTTTCTTCGTCCCTCGCTCTCCTCGGCCCTCATTCTCCTAGTCCCTCGTCCTCCTCGTCCCTCGTTTTGCTCTTGGTCCCCCCGCGGTGTGTTCGGTAGCAAAGCGCTGGGGACTGGTACTTTTTCTACCCTCTCAGTTTCTCCCTCAGCGTCGTGTAGCGTCTATTAGCGTCTGGGAATCTATGCGCCAGCGCCGGTTTTGAGCGTCGGTTAGCTCCGATGAGTGTCGATGAGTGCCGATGCGGAAGAGCCAACAAGATGGTACGGGTTGCTCCCATGCGTTGCCACCGGAGGCGGGGCGCCGCGACATCGTGAGCCATGCTTGCGCTGCGCTCAGCGCGCAGCGCGAATCGGGGAGCCCTCGGCTCGGATTCCAAGAGGCGAGGTGCCGAGGCGCGCGCAGTTCTCTACGGCGGAATGTGACGCCCCGCCCAGGCACCACCTCCATCCGATCGATCTGGGCCGGTATCGGGTCTGGCCAGCCCAATGTGGTACGACTCCGATGTCCCGACGATCTGATGCGGTCCGACTCCCGCATGGGCGCTGCCAGGCATCCTGGCCCGGCCGACACGAGTTTGTGACCCCGTGCCGACGCCGCCCGATCTCACCCACGTTCCGTGCCCGTTCGGATTCTCGAGTCGTTGTTTGCTGCTCCTGCCCATCCGCCGGGAGTATGCATTCAGTCTCTGACCAGTTCTCTGAGGCCTCAACCTTCCCCTTTCCTCCTCGCTCCTAATCTACCACCTCCGCCCAGACTGCGATGAACCCTGTTCTGGTTAGGCCTGACAGAGCTTTGACAGTATTTCAGCATGATTTCTACACGTTTCGCGTATGTGCCTTTGCGGAGTGCCTTTTACACCGGGTTGGGAGTTTCGTTTCTGGCTCTTCGTCTGAGTGGCTGCCCGCGCGCTCGTTTCGCTTGCCTCTAATTTTCTTGCTGCCTAGGCGCGGCCCGACTAGTGTTCGGACGGCTTTCGACCTGCGCCGCGAGCCCGCAGACCAAACAAAGTATGTGCCTTTTTGGCCTCCTGGGCACCTCATGGGGCCCTCTTGGGGCACTCTCGGGAGCCACGGGCTCCATGGGGACCATTTTGTAGGAGATCGATCAGAGGAGGGGGGCGTCTTAACTAGTGTCCCCCCGCCAGAAGGCCAACGTGTGACCCAAACCTGAGAGTAGCACTAGTGATCCTTACCTTCTCGCCGAGGCCGTTTTTGGACGCTCCAACCCCTCACAGCCCCCCCCCCTCCAAGCCAAGGGGGACGGAGCAGCGGGAGGGGTCAAGACACCCTCCCCGCCCGCAAGGTGTCTCTGCCGCTCCCACCCGCCCTCCCAACACATAGTAGCACCCGGACCTCAGCATGTTCAACGGTTGTCTATGGACGAGCAGCTACTGGGAACAAATACAGACCCCATGTGCGCGATGGGGCGAGGTGCGTCACGTGTGTCAGGCGCTCCAAGTGCGCCAGGCACCCTTGTGGCTCAAGCGAGCCCGAGCTCGGGCTAAAGCGCGAGCCCGAACCCGATCCCGAGCGCCTGCGCCTGCGCCCACGGGTGCGCGTGCGCGTGCGCGTGCGTGCGTGTGCGTGTGCATGTGTGTGTGTGGGTGTGCGCGTGCGCGTGCGCGCGCGTGTGTGTGTGTGTGTGTGTGTGTGTGTGTGTGTGTGTGTGTGTGTGTACGTGTGCGTGTGCGCGTGCGCGTGCGTGTGCACGTGTGCGTGCGCGTGCGCGTGCGTGTGCGCGCGCGTGCGTGTTTCTCAGAACGCCCGCGTCCGATCTGCCCACGCGCGATCAAAACGGGAATCGCTGCCGACAACCTTGGCGCCCCACGGCACCTGGGGGACGCCTGCGCCCTTCTGCCCCCGCCCGCGAGGATGCTGGCGTCGCCCCCTGGCAAGGTCTTCGCCTTCAGCTGAGGGCGGGCACTGCTCGATGAAGAAACGGCTCGATCACGACGACGACGACGACGACGACGACGTCGTCAGGAAAATATGCTCTACGGCTACCCTTCCCTCGTTTTCGCCCGTTTCTGGGGTCTCCTCGGAGGCCTTGGTCCCCACCGCTGGTTCCCCCAACAAAGGCATACGGCATGTTCGTGTCGTGTCGACCGGCGGCGACCCCGCCGCCGACGTTCAACATTGAACGCTGTTGGCGACCCAGAATCGGTCGATGTTGAACAGTCTGGAGTTTCGGAAACGGCCGACCGTTCAAGGTGGAACGATCTTCGCGGAGTCAGGAACTAACGCCAAAACCGACACCGACACCACACGAACTTGCCGGAAACGTGAACTTGTGGAGCTCCGCGCGGGTTTCTTTGATCGGCGCTGGACCCCGTCCCTGGCGCGCGGAGCGCGTCAAGGTCGGCGCCGGAGGCGCTAGGTAGGCCCCAGCGCCGATCCAAGAAATTCTTGACGCTTCGCGTATCCCCTCCAGTTGTTTTCGCCCCTGCCGCGTTGCCGCTGTGCCTCGCCTGGTAGTTTTCGCCACCATCGTGGCCTTTTTTTCCTGCGCTTCGCTGGCGACAGTTGTGTTGTACGCCCTGGCCCTGTGCTGTTCGACCCTTTGACGCCGCGCGGGTGCCCGCTTGCGGTCACGATCAAGTCCATCCAGACACGATCGGAGGTTTTTGAGGCCTCGTGGAGGCTATCTTGAGCCATGTTCGGTTAGAGGCTGTCGGAGGCTATCCTGAGCCATGCCCAGCCACCTCGGACCATTGCGGGGGGGGTTCTGGAGCCTCTCGGAGGTCTGTCGGGGGCTACCCTGAGCCATGCTCGACCTTCTAGAATCACCGAGCGCGTTCCACGACTCGCAAAGTGCCTACTCGCAAACGTCCGAAAAAAACATGTCTGTTTGGATGTGACTTATCGTAGATCCTCCGCGGGGGATCCGGGCCATTTGCGAGTGGTCACTTTGCGAGTAGTGAAGCGCGCTCGTCCATAGAACGAGCCGCCACGGGGGCTCCAGCGTTGATCCAATAAGTTTGCGCGGAACTCCCCGAGAGTTCTTGCTCATGCAGCACTTTTTCTTGATATGCGTACTTTTCTTCTCCTTTTCTTTTTCTTTTTCTTCTTGTTATTATTTTTCTTCTTCTTCTCCTTCTTCTTCTTCTTCGTCTCACGGCGACCCTGCGCCCCCAGGCGCCTCTCCGCGCGGCGCGGCCCCTCCATCAGGGGCGACCAGGATGTGGGCTGGGCGTCTTGGCCGGGCAGTGATTTCTCCCCTGATTTCATTGCCCTGACACGATCGCGTTGTCGGAAAGTCAGCACGACAGGGTTTTGACCATTTTCGGCCTCCCAGGGCCTTCGCCGGGCCTCGCGAACGTCCAAAAAACGACGCAGGATGAAGAACTGGCCCCGGGGAAAGTGTCAGGACTTCGGGGGGCCGTGGGTGGAACAATCAGGACGTCGCGTGTCTGGGTATGCCTCTGCTAATTCTAGTGCGTCCTCTGGTCCCCAGGAGGCCGAAGGCGGAGGAGGAGGAGGAGGAGGAGGAGGAAGAGGAGGAAAAAGAGGATTTCCAGGATTTCCGCCACCCCGTGCGGATATGAAGGCTGAGCTCAGTCACTTGCAATAGGGTGCAGGACTCGTGAGACCCGTCTGGAGCGCCCCACTCACGAGGTGAAGTCGCCGACGCACACTTCCCGCCGTATTATGCCGAGGAGAAGATTCCCTCCAACAGAGCAAGCGACGGACGTGCCCACAACTCCATACTCCAGAACATGAAACTGCTTTAGTGAATTGGAACCTGCTGCAAAATGGACTCCCTACCACGAAGCACGGAAGAAATACCTTTCCACCTTCTAAGCTGGCGTAGTGCTGACTCGATGCGGCTCTTGTCGCGCACAGCGTCGAGCTACCTCCCGAAGAGATCGCCAAGACCACCACCAGCCTCGGTACCGAATTAGATACACAACCATGCCCCGAGGAGAAGCCCGCAGCACCACCCAAGCATTTATGACTTACATTTGAATGCTGCAATACAATCCAGTTGTGGATGCAGAAGCGGCTAGAGCTGCTGAACCCCTGCAGCAGACGCCAGAGAAAGACGGTGAAGCAGAAATTGAATCGCCGCTGAAACTCCACGATTTACAAACATGCAGAGACCGTGAAATGCACGAGGAAACCACATACCGAGGCACACTATAGCAGCAGGGCCCATACAGCAAACGCCTGAGAGATGAAGGTGAAGCAAAAGGATTGACATCACCGCCACAACCCCACGTTTTACCAAGTGACATAGACCACCACTGCAACCACGGCGGGGAATGCTAGCCACACCAGGGCTCGCCCCGCAGACAGAGACTGAGCACCAAAACCATGCAAACTTGAATGCACGAGGGAAGCCACCAACTGCAGACAATCCAGTCGGTGGATACCGCGGCACTCAATAGCAGCTGAGCCCATACAGTAGACGCCTGCGAAATAGACGGTGAAGCGGAATAGTTGACCTCGCCGCCAAAACTCCACGATTTACAGACTGACATGGACCACCACTGCACACCACAGCGGGGAATGCTAGCCACACCAGGGCTCGTCCCGCACGGCAGGCACGGCGGGGAATGCTATCCACTCCGGGCTCATCCCGCACTGTCCGGATGCCGAGCTTGAAGAGCAGGTCTTCCATGAGAAAGAATTGATTTGCCCAGATCTTGCCAACGCCTACCTGATAGACGCCGACGAAAACGCTGAACTCCAGTCGTGAGGCGTGCCCCTCAAGCGCCACGTGGAGGCACTGGGCGGGAGCTCCGAACACAATACAGCCAAAAGATGGTACTACGGGGCTCGGGCCACTCGTGCTCGAGAGGAGGAAGAGGAGGAGGAGGAGGAGGAGGAGGAGGAGGAGGAGGAGGAGGAGGAGGAGGAGGAGGACTAGGAGGAGGAGGAGGAGGAGGAGTAGGAGGAGGAGGAGGAGGAGGAGGAGGAGGAGGAGGAGGAGGAGGAGGAGGCGGGGGAGGAGGGGGACGAGGAGGAGGAGGAGGAGGCGGAGGAGGAGGAGGCGGAGGAGGAGGGGAGGAAGAGGCAGGGGATGCGGAGGGGGAGGGGGAGAAGGTGGAGGAGCCCCCCCCCTGACCTTCCCGCTGGGATGCCCCTGTCCTGGACGCCCCTGCGGCTCGAGGGGCGGCCGCGCTTGTGCTGGGCGCCCCCCCGTTTCCCCCGGGCGCCGGCGGTGGCGAGGCGGGGTGGCCGCAGTGGCCCGTCCAGCGCTGGAGGGGCCGGGCGGACTGCCCGTCGGCGCGTGAGCCCGCGGCAAAACGGCGCTGCGGCGTGCCGTTATTGGAGGGCCAAGCCGGCCTGCTTCCAGAAGGCCAACATCTGGGGCCGATGCCAGGTTCGAAGCAGAAAAACGCCATAAACATGAACTTTTCGGCGCTCCGCGCGGATTTCCAAAAGTTTATGTTTATGCCGCTTTTTCTTCCTCCACAAATGCCGTCCTCGCGTTCTAGTCAAAAGCGTTACGGGCACATTTGGTGCCGTGACGCCCGTAGACACTTTCGGGGTGGACACGTCTACGGACAACGTGGCCGTCGTGTTCGGCGCGGTGCAAGGTCGCAGAAAGGGTAGATCCATCTACGGCATGCCGATATTCTAGGCCTCCCAGGTGAGGTTGGAGTAGGTGATGTCGGATGATGGCGCCGCATCGCCGAGGCATCGGCGATGCGGCTCGATGTGGAGCCCGATTTTCTTCACGCCGACGGCGCCGATGCATCGCCGACGTTTCCAGTGCATCGCCGATGCATCGGCGATGCATCGCCGATGTATCGCCGATGCGGCGCAACTCTCCGACCCCATCTACTCCGATCCCATCTAGGAGGTCTTGAAACCCTGCCGGTGACTTCCTGCAGCCGCCGAAGAAGCTGGATCGCTCAGGGTGCTCTTGGTTTCCCTTCAGGTGCACCTCGCCAGTGGGCTTTCAGGGCTGGGCTTTCTTGCGGGGGCTCCTCGCGGCCGCGCCCGCACTGCCGCCGCCGCCCCCGGTGGGCTCCGCGCGCCAGGGAGAGGGGTCCAGGGTTCAGAGCGCCGCTCGAAGAGATCCGCGCGGGCTTGCAGACGATTGTGCTCATACCGCCTGTTCCTACAGCCTACAAGCTGCATGTTTGTGCTTGAGCCCGCGGCAGAACTGCCGCCGCCGCCGTCGTCGTCGTCGCCGTCGTCGTCGTCGTCGTCGTCGGCATGGCTGCGCGGTGGCCCGTCCAGCGCTGGAGTCCTAGAGATCCGAGGCCCAAACAAAATTAGGAGTGGCCAGGTTCTGACCGTTTTCGGCATCCGTGGGCCCGGGACCATCAAAAACGACTCGGGACCACAACCTTCTCCTCCTCCTCCTCCTCCTCCTCCTCCTCCTCCTCCTCCTCCTCCTCCTCCTCGCTCCTCCTCCTCCCGCGCGTCGCGCGACCCGCGACGCGCGACCTGGGGCGCGCTGCCGCGCGTCGCGCAGCCTGGTGCTTCGGGGGGGCCCGCGCGGAGCGCCTGGATGCGCGGCGGCCGCGCCATCATGGAGGCCGCGGCAGCGGGGGGGTTGCCTCGGCGGGGACGGGCCAAGGCTTTTCGGCGATGTGGTTCCAGGAGCGAGGACGCAGTATCGTTGAACCGATCCCTATCCCCACCTCCACTCCCATCCCGATCCCCGCCGTCCTGCCACCCCCTTTGGGGATGCACCCCTCGGTGCCCGGAGGGAGCAGCCCGTTGTCCCCATCTAGGGGGGCAGATCGGCCAGTTGGGCCCAAGCCACGCCCGTGGGGATGGGGATCGGCGAAAGGATGCCCAGAGAATCGCAGTGGGGCGCGCATCCAGAAACCACATGCCTTTCGTCAGGGTGTGTTTTGCTCTCCGCGCGCTGCGCGGCGACTTGCCGCAGCCGCTGAATAAGATGCTGCGTTCAGGGTGCTCCGGGCTTCCCCTCGGGTGCACCTCGTGCGCGGGTTTTTGGGGTTGGGTTGCTTGCGAGGGTTTCTTGCGGCCGCGCCCGCACTGCAACCCCGACCCGCATGATTGGCGTTTGCTAGGCGGATCTGGCCTCTTACTGAACAACAGCCCTGCCCTCTTCGAGTCCTGTTTTTGTTGTTTTTGCTGAACGGCTTTGCTTGTCGGGGCGTTTCGTATCTAATGGCCTTCGGCCACCGTGCCTGGGTTGTGGGTGTGCAGCCGATTGGATGTTCGGTGGGATCTCGTTGGAGGCTTCTCGGGGGTCTCTCTGAGGCACTTTGGACGCCTCCCAGGGGCCGCTTTTGAGCTTCTTGTGGGTCTCTTTTGGGCCTCTTGGAGGCCTCCTGGGGGCCTCTCGGGGTCTGTTTGGGGCCTCTTCGGGGCCTCTTGGCGTTTTTCCGTTTGCCAATGACGTCTTCAATCGCGTTTGTTTCTTCGATCTTGATTTAAGCCAGGCATGTCCTTCTACAGGAGGAGTGTTCAAAAAGAGTGAAAACAAGAGACTGGGGGCGACTTTTTGATTTTTACTACGGTTTGGAGTAATTTTTTGTATATTGCTAAATGTTCGTCCAACATCCGCCTGCAGGAGGACATGTCCGACCCAAATCTTGATGGAGCCGCCAAAGGAGCTGCCCCCGAGCAAGAGGCGGCCAGGACCCCCCTCTTGGGGTCCGCGCCGCGGAGGCCAGGAGGGGGCGGAGGCGTGCCAGGCGAGGGCGTGCCCCAGGGGCCTCGCTCCTCATCTTCCTCCTCCTCCTCCTCGCTCCTCCTCGCTTCTCGCTTCTCGCTTCTCCTATTCCGCCTCCTCATTCCTCCTCCTCCTCCTGGTTGGAGGAGCAGGATCGGCGAAACGTGAGACTCGAGTAAGCTGGAACTCGGGTCTGCCGACGCTTTCTGACGAGCGCGGCTTGCATTTTGACGGTCCAGTTTTAGTGGGATGTTTGCAGCGGGAGTTCGCGTCAAATTTCAGACGGGGTCGCGTCATGTTCATGACGGCCCCGTCGGGCCAACCCGAGTCCCCCGAACCCGAGATTTAGGTCTCCCCGATCGGGGGGGGGGGGTGAGGGTTTCGGGCTTTCGAAGCTACAGAGTTTCTGCCTTCGTAGCTGCAGAGTGCCCCGCCCAGCCCAGGAGCGTTACAGAACTTCGGTGCCTCTCGTGGGCGGGCTGCCGCAGCTGCAGATGTTCGGACGGCTTGGTGGGTGCTCGGCGGGTTTGGTGGGTGGCGGGGCGAGGGGGTGCCCGAGGGGCGTCGCTTCGGAGGGGATGGGCTCTGGGGGGGCACGCTTCCAGACGTGATCGCGTCGTGCAAACATTCACGACGAGAGGGTTTGAACCATTTTCGGCCTCTTGGAGGCCCTCGCCGTGCTCCAGGACTTTCCAGAAACGACGCAGGACGAGAAAACCCTGCCGAGGAAAGGGTCGGGACTTCGGGGGATCGCGTCGCATCGAACCGCCGCGACAGACTCTCGGACGGCTTGGTGGGTTCTCGGAGGTTTTTCCTTCGGGGGTGGAGAGAACCCCCAACAGTGACACGTCGATTAGTGAATTGTCCGTTCTCGGTTCTCGAGAGGGCGCCGCGGCCGTTATTTTCTGGGCTTGCGCCCGCCAGGTTTGGGCCTCGGGTCGTTTTCACGAAACCACGTTTTACTAAAGGGAGGTCTGTCCATCCCCGATTCCTAGCCTCGGGGCGCGTCCCAGCGGCTGCGTCTCGACGAGAGGCGCCCAGGGGTGCCGCGGTCGTCCAGGACGGCCGCCGGAGACCCCAGTCATGATCCGAGAGCTGCTCCTGCTAGATCTAGAGGAGGAGGAGGAGGAGGAGGAGGAGGAGGAGGAGGAGGT